TAAATTAATTGATTGTGAATGCTATTAAATGTTAATTAATTAACTCTATTCAGTTGTTGGTGAGTAACAAGAAAGCTGCAATGCAATTTCATTGATCACCCAGAAGGTCGTCGTAAAAATGAAGCTCGCCTGGTATGACGCAGTGGCAGCAGCTGTGGAGGAAAGGGAATGTTAATGGCGGACTGAAGATTTCTGCAATGCTTTCTTTTTTTATATATATATATATATATATATATATATATATATATATATATATATATATATATATATATATATATATGTTTGTGTGTGTGTGTGTGTGTGTTTTAAATAAATATCTGTCATGTCCAAGATCTTAAACATAAGGAAGATTTTAATGAATCAAAGAATAATCTACGATGTCGTTAATCTTATTAATCCTGGATGATCTTACTTTTTTTTCTCGATTTAATTACTTCTTCATTCCGTCAACAACGAGATTAATGACTACATTTTGAAAATAAAACCCCACAAAAGAAACAAAAAAAATAAATGAACCCATCTTATTATAATTCTTCTTGCCCCCCCTCTCCCTACTTTTTTTTCTTAGTTAGCACGTGCGTGCGTTACGCTTTGCCAATGCCTCATAAATAATGGACTATTCCGTTTTGATCGTGTGGAAAGACGGAAAAGCCATACCAGAGACGCTACTTGTGAGAAAATGGAAGAGAGAAATAAACGACGATAGATGTTTAAACTTTTATTTCATTGAAATGTATAAAAATTGTCAGTTTCAAATTTGTACCCTCTTACTTCTTTAAATAACGACCATTATTCATATTTATGATTATTATTGTAAATATTTCCTTAATTTGGTAAATTCAAATATTTCTGACCTTAGGTCTCTGGATGGGACCCGGAAGGAAATATGTATAAAACAGAAATCAAAGAAAATAATAATAATAATAATAATAATAATAATAATAAATCTGCGACTTCTACGGGAAGAAAACTGGTATGAACACTACCCAGACCCGGTTACGGAGATAGGACCTGTTACAATTCTATGGGACTACACAATACACACTGACAGAACAATCAAGGCCAACCGGCCAGATATTGTTATTAAAGACCACAAACAAAAACGGTGCCTCCTTATTGATATGGCAGTCCCTGCTGACTGCAATGTATCTTTGAAGATATTCAAAAAGTTGTCAAAGTACAAGGACCTTGAAATAGAAATCGCGAAAATGTGGCATATGGGAACATCAACAATCCCTGTTGTAGTTGGAGCCCTAGGACTGGTTGGAAAAGATTCCAGTAGACTAATTGAAGGGATTCCTGGAAGTCCATTCCTCAAGGAGATACAGAAAATTGTTCTGACAAGTAGAGCCCACACCTTACGAAGGGCTTTATCTATGTAATTTTTTTTTTTTTTGTCAGTGGAAAGTGTCATGACGCCATTTCTAACCCGGAAAGAAATGTGTAAACGCCAGAAATCAAAGAAAATAATAAAAATAATAATAAAAACAAGTTTCAGCCACTGACACACAGTGATAAAGGTTTTGATTTACTCTGGTCTGAAATCAATGACTAAACTCAGTCTCTTCGCTCTCATCAGCATTTTCCGCAATTTTGCAGCCCAATATATACGTCGAGTTTGGAAATTCAAGAGTAAGAACTAATAGGAATATGCTGCTTAAAACTTGGAATCAAATATTTTTATTTACGTAACTTAAGCCATTTAATGTCAGACAGATGTCTAATTACAGGTACACGACTGATTTTCCGGCATGATTGAAAACCATCCAGTAGGAATTCTGTAATATATTTCAGAACCACTAATTAGGCATCTTTAATTTCTCTGCTGCATTATCGAATTTAAGTAGCGATTAAGTGTTCATTTGACACACAAGACACCACATGCGTCTACTCGATGAATTAATGTGGCAGTGGCGTGAAATTCAAATACTTGCTCGCTTGCTGATTAAAAAAGGTGATGGACCTTCAGTTGAATGAAAATCTATAGTGCAGCTCTAATAAATTCATATGTAAAAATGCATAATATATTAGTTGCCTTTTAAGGAATTAGTATAAATATATAAACAAGTTACTATAATTACAAGGGTGAGTTAAAAATTATCCGCACTTTCTCCATAGCATATCTTTGGGTTTGTCATACTGCTTCCTGCTCATGTGTGCTTATAGTTGGTACTATTGTGGTCACGTGATCGAAATTTGAGCTTGATCCCGCCAGTTTTCTTGAACTGCTACAGTGTAAACATGTCCGCTCCGCTAGCAGTTTGCACTAATGATGAACAAACAGCAGTGATCCGATTTCTCTTGTCGGAATGTGTATCAGGGGCTGAAATCCATCGTAGCCTTTTAACGCAATACGGCGACAGTGAACTACCGCGTAGAAGTGTGTATGACTGATTAGATTAAAAGTGGCCGGATAAGCTCGATGCTCGAAGAAGAAGCAGGGCACCCTTTAAATTCCACCAGAGATGAGAAGATTTTACTTTCCCGTACGATCATTAAAGTTAAGACTGGTCAATACCTAAATGAGTGACTAGTTGGGAATACCAGGTTCCATAAATTTGGATGTCGGCTGGCGTAATGGATAATGGCTCGAAATTGTTAATCGATTTAGGAGCTCCAATTCCAGTTGGGTTCGTTATATCCCCTTACGCACATATACCCTAGTAATGGCGAACCGTCGAGTTAGCATCGATGAAGTAGCATGTTCTCTGCAGATTCGGATCACTGCTCTTTGTTCCTTCTTGGTGCACACTGCTAGCGGAGCGGCTATGTTTACACTGTAACAGCAAAGAGAAAATGGCTCGATCGAGCTCAAACTTCGATCATGTGATCATAATAGTATTAACTATAAGGCAATGGGAATAACTCAAAGATCTGTTATGGTGAAAGGGCGGATAACTTTTTACTTAGCCTCGTATAATTCTGCTTGTTTATTCGTTTGCGCTTACGTTACGCGCTGTCATTGCCTCAGATAAACAAGGGGTCATTCCTGATTCATTCTTGTTTGAAGGAAATAAGAGGTGATCATATTCTCTAGGGTTTTAAGTCAGCTTCAGTGAAATGCACAATATTGTCAGATTTTAATCATTACATTTGCATCATCTAAATAATAACTTGCGTTCATATTTTTCGTTGCTATTGTAATATTTTGTTATAGTGGTAAAGCCCAAATATTTAAGAATACGATATAAGGAATTTCTATGAGTAGTTTATAGTAGTGGAACTCGCAAGGAGTTTATTTAATCATTTACTTAAATATTAAGATTCATCGGAAAATTCAAATAGGAAAGCCATTTCTAATAAATTTTAATGTAATATTATTATTTTTAAATAAGTACTTGTCACCCCGCTTCGTTAGTCCGCACAACCATTACGCTCTGCAATGCCTCATAAATTGTGGACCAGTCCGTTTTAAACGCGTGGAAAGTGTGGGGAAAGACACGACTTGATTTCAGTGAGAAAATGCAAGAACGAGAAAGAAATGCCGAAGTGGAGACAAATAATCAGATTAAGCTGATATAAACATATACTACACATTGATCGTAGCCAAAAGGATGAGATATGACGACCGCGATAAAAGCGCCATTTTTCAGGTGCACAGTATCGAACAACGAGTAGGTCTAGTTATCATAAACTAAATAGCATCGTCTACCTGATTATGTTTAAATTATTATTAATAGAAATGTTCATAAGACAGGGATTTGGCTAGTATTGATTAATAGTCGTACGAATAAGTTTAACAAAAATGCTACCATGTGGTAAGTAAGGGGCAGGATACACTTTACACTGTTCAGGAAACGAATTTAGTCTTATTTTTGTTTTTCATTGGCGTTAATTTTACAACAGACATTGTATTGATGCATTCAATATATCCCCTTGAATATTAGCACCAAGTAAATAAAGTAAAGATGAATAGATTTCTTTGTTGGAAAGAATGAAGGAACACTTTTTTTTTGCTTCTTTCATGATTCAAATTACTATGGCAGCAACTATTAGAAATGAAGAGAGTTGTTTCAAGCCTGATTAGTTGTTAAAAACGATTAATGGTATCACGATGATCATACCTTGGAATTCGCTACAAAGTGATATTACGAAGGAAAAGCAGTTCGGTAATTACTTAAAATGAGCAAAGGAAAGAAAAAAAAACCTATTGAGAGTTACTTACGAATGAAAAAAGTCGAATGGCATTGGACTATTATCTAAAAGAATCTGAGAAACGAATGAATTCTTCAAAGAGGGACGAAAAAAAATCGTGTTCCTCCACATCACACACAGTTCTGAATAATGCACCGAGATATATAAGTTTTTCTGCCTTTCTATATATATATATATATATATATATATATATATATATATATATATATATATATATATATATATTTTACTTAAATTCTTTCAAGCCCTGAATCATCTCGGCATCGGATCATTCAAGGTATCGACCGATAAGATATTTTGTTAATAGACTGATCGTAATTACTAAGTTCACCGCATCAGACAAGATGGCGGCTGTTTGAGCCCAAAGTCGACTTATAGAGAGCTTAAATTAGATTCAACCGTAAACATCGTAAATTAAATTGTTTAGCGGAAGAAAAGTGATAACCACTGATGCAAAACTTGATCAATTTGGCGTAGAGAAGAAAAAAAAGCGAATGACAATTCTTCTGTGTGGTCTGCTTGGTATTTGTAAGGGTTACGTATTTCAAAAAGGGTGCACAAGTCGGTTTTCAGAATCATTTGAAAGTCAAATCTTATAATCATGATACACAAGGCAGGCGGGAAGATTCTTTTTATTTAGGTAACTGGAGTAATATAATCTTCCTATTCCAAAATGTCCTAAATATCAAGATCTGGTACCCGCTGATTCTAAATATAATTTATTTGATATAAAACAATAAATTATCAATATGTGACCCGCTTCATGATTGAAATAATGATATGCATTTCATTAGTGCCAGAAACTTTCTCTAATGTAATAAACACAAAGAGGTTTTGTTGCTTACTGAAACTTTATTGAGCAACAACATGGCGCCGTGTAGACGCCTTTTATAGATAGAAGAGTTACATGAGAGAGGGGAGGTAACTGGAACATATTTTCCCTATACCTAGGTTTAAAAAATTGGAATACCAGAATTTCAAACCAATATTCTCCCTAGTTGGTTCAAGACTGTACTAAGCTTAACTTATTAACCTTGGAGAATATACGATCACTGTTTTACCACACTAAATGTTGTAATTTCCGTAGCAAGAAGTTTTGTTTTTCAGGGATGGAGCTTTTAGCCTCACAACCAATCTCATTTGAATTCAGAGATTTCCGTTCAATGATAAAGACCTCAGTTTGCATTAGTATTAACCCCTAGTTGGATAAGAAACGATGTATTCATACATTTTCTGAGACTATTTGTGTGAAAGCGACTGCAACCACAGATCGAATTTAAAGACGGTAAGCCAGTTCCACTTTCGGTGTTGATAACCGCTACACTATGTGCATATCCAACGGATGTAACAGTAAAATTGTCCAAATTGTGTAAGAGCATAATGGTGCATCCCACAAAATGTTTAATATCTAAAAAAAAACACGAAACTAATTTAGTTTAATTTTTCCAGATTTTCAGATGAGACGTTTAGCCATCTTCGCACAATTTGTCGTAAATATCACTGAAAAATCCTTTGGGTTATTCAGCTAGAAAAAGAATAGGATAAAACTGTTTTGTGTCAGCCCCACTGTCTTCCCTACTGAGCAATGGTGAGGGGAAAAAGATCATTCAGGCCTTTAGTAATGGTACCAAAATTCATACTCTGGCTTCTATCTTCAAAGTCCATTCAAGAACCATCAAGAGAATAATGAATAAGTTTAAAAAACGAAGGAACAGTAGAGAGGAGGTCACAACAGAAAGAGGGATCATTATTTCAATTTAGATATAAAAATATCAATTAGAAAAGATCGAACTCAATCCATCAGACATTTGTCACGTGAGAGAGCAGTTTCACTTATGACAGTAAAAGCAGTGAAAAAAAACTTGAAAATGAAATCGTACGTAAAACATCTGAGGCAACTTGTTGCTCAAGGTCAGAAGGCTATAGGGCGGAGATGATCTTAAATAATTTGGAAAATGATCCTAGAATTATATATATATATATATATATATATATATATATATATATATGAACTTTACATTAATCCTTCATGAACTTCTGATCCTTAGCTATGATTAATTAATGATGAACATGTCATTTTCGTTTGTGATCCATTTTATCACGCTTTTTCTGTTAAGCTTGGAGAGTAACAATACATTCTTGTTGCTCAAAGTAGAGTCCAGCAGTGTTATAAAAACTTCGGAGAATTCCAGTAAGATATATTTAATCATTTCTCTGATAAAACGGTTCAAATCATAATTTAATTCATTTATATTTGGGAAGCAACCTTTCTTTAAAACATCTTTTGTTGAATATGACACACTGTGACGTCGTCCCCCGGTCGCAGCGACAACTGTGACGTTCTAACTTTTTGGTGATTCGGGTGGGAATCTGGTTAGAGTTGATATCAGCCTCGTCGTTCCCAACTCGCTTCCAACGCCTGGTTACCAAGGTAACTGCATTGATCTCCAGTCCGCCTACCCACGTTGTGAATTGATCTTAGGCAGATGAGATCAAACAGTGGTTGGGGCCGTAATGCAAACTGAGTTCAACGGGGGTGATACTACACAATTATGCATAAAAGAAAATAAAATGAAAACTCAAAAAGTTCAAAGTATCAAAGAAAAAGGTAACAAACTTTATGTCTAGTTGTTCAATACATAGGACTGCATCTATCTCCCGACCCGTTCTGTGGATTGTGACACGTCGTTTCCGCTAGGCAAGTTTTAACGCTTCAAGTTGTTTGCTCTCTAAGAAAAATATGTGTTTCGGTGTGTCTTTGGACGAAAGTCGAAAAACTTATTTCGGTGGTCTGGTTCTAAGTCGCTCTTCAAAATAATTGTTTTTGGGTTGAAGAGGAGTCCTAAATTTGCGTGAATCTTGGTCAGCTATCTGCGAGGAGGCTTCAACTCTGGAAACTCAACTCTCCGCTGGAGCCCGAACTGGACTGAACTCAACTCTCCGCTGGAGCCCGAACTGGACTGAACTCAACTCTCCGCTGGAGCCCGAACTGATTTCTGCCTGTTGGGGCCTCGCTTTTATTGACGCCGACCAAAACCGGGGTGGGTCTGTTGGCGTAGGGGGGGTTCCTCGATAATTCTAAATACATATCCACCTCTTTTATTTCTGGTTAGGGATTTTCCATTCTTTTCTCTTTTTGGGAACCTTTCCTCACTCCCACTTTCTCACCATACTTCTGAGGGGCGTGAACTGCCCTCCCCAATTCTTCGTAGCAGCTTCTCATACTTATACTCTGGATGGGGCGTCGACAGCCTTCTTCGTGCGTCACTTGATCACTCTCGGCCAATGAGGTCTTGGTCGGGTATCTTTCCTCCTCCTTCGTGCGTCACGTGATCACTACTTGACCAATGATGTCTTAGTCGGGCGTGAACAATCCGTGGCTTTGTTTCGGAAAAAAGAAAAAAAAATATCTTGCTTAACTAAAAAAAATTATCGCCGTTATCATTTCTCTAGCCAGGAACAGACAATATGACAACTCTTGTTTTACACGTGGTGTTTGTCAGGTATTTTATCGCTAATTTATCAAGATGGTGGTCTTCTTAACATGGCTTCAAAAAAGAAATATCCCCAAAGTTTTCAGTCAGTCTGTCGCCTCCAAGGAAGAAAGAAAAACACTTCTGGGTCCCCAATCATTTTCCTTCGGTACATATTCCTGATAACATAATTTTATTATCGCAGGCCAAAGTTGTTTCGTCGAAAAAAATTCAGTCAGCGGCACTGCTTGTGTGGCATTTAATTTTTCATATCTGTCCAAAGTCCTTTTTACTGGCCTGTTTCTCGTCACTTATCGAAATAGCATTTTCACTTGAATTTTTCCCTGACCAGTGGTCCAGCCTAGATAACACAGCCGTTATCAAGACACATCTGATTCCTTCTTTCTTTCCCTTTCTTTTTTTTTACTCAGAAATTCCCTGTCATTGTAATGACACCCTTTTTCATTTGTTACTTATCAATATTTTCATTGTCTCTTAGCCGTGTGTTTGGCTGCTTATCACCTACGATTCGTCTCGCCTTTCTTTCTGCCTTTTTTTCTTTCTCTTCCTTTCTCTTGCCTTGTAAATGGTGCCACAACACAAGGAAAATTTAATGCATTTCTTGCATAATTTTTCTAGCATTTTTACATCTCTCTGTTTGGTGGAAGTAAGGTAGTGCAAAATTTCTTTAATATAACTTGCATAAAAGAGGAAATTCTTCCCAGATATATATATATATATATATATATATATATATATATATATATATATATATATATATATATATACTAGCAGTAGAGCCCGGCCTTTCCCGGGGATGTAACAGTAAGAGATAGATCAAATATCGACCATCATAAAGACTGAAAAATAAAATTGACAAAGATTATTGTTTAAGGTTGACGGACACGCATGTCTTAATTAGTTTATTTTTTTTTTTTACGAATTGGTCAAACCCAAACTCAAACAAAAACAATGTTTTCAATCGTTATGAGTCTCTACCGATTGAATAGAATTTTATTATAAACAATTGTCTTGTAAATGGAATTTTTAAAGCATTCTGAATGTAAAAATAAAGGAAAAAGTGTGCAAGACAATAAGAAACACTACTTGTCAAAAAAAAGTGAAGTTTTGTTGAAATCGGTTGAAAAATGTAGGAAATCCGATTCAATATATAAACGTACAGACACACACACACACACAACCTGAGTTTTTTATATATATATATATATATATATATATATATATATATATATATATATATATATATATATAAATTAGCATGGAACAAGCGTAATTTCTTATTTAGATTGAAATTACAAAGCATATTGATTTAAATTTAATAAAACTAAGAACAACCGGTTTCGTCCCAGTTTATTAAGTTTTATTTTGGGAATTACAAAAACAAACATATATATCAATTTATAGGATGTGGGGGAGGGAATTGTTCAAGGAAAACTAGAGCAAGCAGTCCCTCTGTTTACAGAGAGAAGTCTTGCGGGATCTGCTATATAGGGACTCTAGAAGCCTGAGATGATATAATTATCATTATATTTTTTTTACCCCCCCCATTCAGGCAGCCAGTTATGTGCCATGCGTGATACACGCTTCAGCGATCATGTATATTTCGATACATGATAGACAAGCCAGATTTTTTTCCCGCAGTAGGTTGTCATTTCTTTTTGAGTTAGACCAGTTGCCATCCAAGGCTATAAAAACCGGTCTGTCCTGCTATTTACCCATAGCTGGGGGGAGAAGACGAACATTCATACTTTACCCAAGGGTATTAGCACGTAAGTGAATGTAATGGATTTGACTGGAATTCGAACTCGGCTCTCTGATTCCTCAATCTGAGCCGCTATCCATTACTCGACCTACCACACATTTATCGGCAACCTATAAATTAATTTACACATTGTTTTTTTAATTCCCAGAATAAAACTGGAAATTGTCCTGTTTCTTAATTATGAAATTGTCCTGTTTCTTAATACCTTGCTTAGGTTTTGGAAGGCACCTTTCACTATTCTAATGCGCTATTTGAGTTCTGTGACACGTCTTTCTGTCCTCTGTTGAGACATTTCCTATTCAAATTTTTATACTTGATTGATTCTACTGTCTCCATTTTGTAGTTCGAACCTTGGGAGGTTCCTTTTGCTCATAACTGTATGGTATGGATTCTAAAAATTGATGGTTAGTCCTTTCTTCACGCTTTCTTTTATTACATTCTGTAGCGGTTCGTGTAGTTTCCCGTATGTGTCTTCTATCAATACTCTGTTGCCAGCATATATTATTCCGTTAAGATTGTAGCCGCCCGTAATGAAACCTGGCAGGACTTCTAATTCTCTCCAGCTCGCCTCATTGTAAAGGTCCAATCATTCCGGTAAGAAGACAATTCCTTGTTTACACCCTGTTCTTTTTGCATGTATTTACTGATTTTCTAACCGTATGTTGACGGTTAACTCCG